AAAACTTATCAAACTTGGGTGATTTAGTGAATCCTTTATAAGTCACTTGTAATTGGACAACATATTTGGCATTTAATATCCATGACCTTATTTAGTAATAGAAAAGTGTGAGACTATATTGTCAATATAGTCAAACAAAGACTAATTATTCCCTTCAGTTGTATAACAGTGATATACAACCCTGCTTGACTCAAAACTCAGCTTTATAGCTCACATTTTGAGCCCATTCTCTCAAAGTTTGACTTATCGAGATTTCACTGTATATCAAAACATAAATGTCTCATAAAATTGATTATTTGTCGATTTGTACATGTATGTGTACAATATGCCAGATATGTTAAAAACGGCTGCCATTTTAATGGCCAATGGGGGGGAGTGGGGTGGAGCAGATTGTCAGGTGTTTGTGAGAGTTTGAAAGAATGTGCAATAATCCATATGGGCTCGCACAAGCTTCCTTTTGGAATACACGTATGCCCCCTTTTTATGAAAAAAGTGTGACACGCCCCCCCCAATGGGAGCCAAAGAATTTATGAGTTGACATGTAAACGTTTTTTCCTTGCCAAATTATAATGGATTGAAACAAAAACAAAAAACCTCAAGATTGCATTTTACAGGTCGATTTTCTGTTAGCGACATGTGACCCCCACTTTTTTAAATGTTGCCCCACCCCCAAAAGAGGCAAAATTGTGGAATTTGTTTTTTGTTGTGATGTAGCACTTGGGTGAACTGTCCAAATGCGAGAAAGAAAAGTAACATTTTTTAAAATATTTTTTGCGCGCGATGCCCCCACTTTTTAAAATCATGGCCACGCCCACAAAAGGGTCAGAAAAAAAATGGCATCAGGTGGTTTGGAACTTCTTGAGGTATCCTCTAGTGATCCTGAGAGTTTCAAAGAGTGTACCCGAAATTGCATATGGGCCACCACCCACTGACTAATGGGCTTTTCGCCCATTCCAATGTGATATACACAGTAATTATGATACCTCTGCATCAGATTGTCACGGGCCTTTTCACTCTGATGTAAATTCAGTTAACCGGGTGAAAAACCCATAGGCTTTTATAATCTGTTAGATCTTTGGTTTGCATTAACGGATTTCCATGGCATTTTTACTAATATTTAATATGCTCGATCAAGATGAAATTCTCTTGTTAAGTAGCTTTTGAGAAATTAAAGGATATCTGCTTTCACAACTTTTTGGGGAAACCCCGTAGTACCGCTCTTGTCCGGCGTTCTTTTTCCTCTACAAAGCTATGACCCCTGATGAATAATTATGTCGCCGTGGCCCACTCTTCAAGGGGGCTACCCTGATGTTCCCCAACATCTATGTTCCCCAAAAATCCTTAGGGTTAGGCCAAAAAAAAAATCGGTCTCTGGTCAGCGCGCGCGTCGATTTTAATTAAATTATCTTCAAATTAACACGGAAGCTACAACAGCGCCCTCTATTGCCGCCCCTCCTCAAATTTTTGTACCAAGGAGCACCAAGGAATGGGGAAATTGCACCAAGGCAAATGATAAAGGGCACCAAGGCAAATTATGGAGGAAACCAATGTATAATGAGGACACAAAAAAGCAAAATAGTACCCACCTTGTCTGTACAATACAAGCTTGAAAAAAAAAGCCACCAAAAAAAAAAAAAAAACCGCGTCGCCGCATCAATTCCGGAACTTCGGTCTGACCAGAGACCGACTATTTTTGGGTTTTTTGGGCCTTATGGTTCCGGTTAGGGTTAGGGTTAGAAAGTTAGGGTTAGCTTTAGGGTTGGGGAACACAGGTATTGGGGAACTAGTATTGGGGAACATAATGTATGCACCACACGGTCAGCAAGAATTTCCAGATATCTGATTAACTGTGAGGGAATATGCTTTATTTCTTTAAAATGTTGATTCCATCCAAGGACGAAAAAAAATTGATATGAAGAAACAAAACAACAAATATTTGACAACGCAATAAAGAAATGAACGCCAAAACTGGAGTTCACATAATTACTTCACTTTGGTAATACTTGCTGTTTTACATTCTCCTCGTACTTCTACATTACTCAGATGCTGGAATATGTCCCCGTTCGAATTCGTTGAGGACGAGCAAAAATCATTGACTAGAAAATGCCACTCGTTTGTTCGCCACCAATGAGCGTGAGAACAAGTGCATGTGCAGGGAATAAAGCCGGGCGCTAGGCAGAAGTTGTTTAATCAGCTAAGAAGTGTCTATTATTTTACGATGTCGGCGCGTGGCGATTACAATCTTGTCCGGTTGCTAGTCTGGCGAGGCAAGGTGATTCTGAAGTTGTTTCCGAAACAAAAACGATTGGCTGCTCCTGAAAGTTACTGAAGGATTCTTCGGCTTGAGAAACCACATTTTGGTAGTTTCGTGTTACGTATTTTTATGTGTAGCAGCGTAGCGCCCTCTTGCGATCAAGACAGGGACAAGTGTGGTGGTCAAACCAAGAGAGGGCGCTATGACAAATTCTGTGCGTGCCGAGTAGCGTCCTCTTGTGATCGAGAAGTGACTTTAATAGCGTAGTAATCTAACCAGCAGAGGGCGCTATGACAATATCTGTGAATCAAGGAAGAGCGGCAGAGGTTTACTCCGAGCGAATTGAAGATTCTTAAGACCTGATGGCGCTGTAGGTAGGTAAATCTTCGCTATACATTTTCGTTCTCACGCAAGTACGCGATTTGAAAACAAACGAGAACGAACAAGGAGACCTGAGAACAAAAATGCCGGATGTGAAAGGTCGTATTATAAGAAACATTCGTTTTTTACCTATCTCCAAGTGATTGTTCCCCTTTTCTTTTTAGGAACACCAAGATAAAAAATTCCATCATGAATGCTCCTTGGGGTGGTTACGGTTAGAAATAATCCTGTCAAAAATAAGAGCAAGAAATATGGCAAATCAGTGTAAAGTGCCCATAGGCGGGCGGCGTGAGGGTTCCGGAATCTCGCCACGTGACCTTTAACATTCAGGCTTTATTCTGTGGTTTTTCAGAGCCACGGAATTGGACCCAGATAATTTGAGAAACACTTTATTTGTTTCCTTTGATAGGCTTGGTAGTTCCTTTAATAACAAGCTTCAATTGGGCCTCCCTTTTAATTTTTTTCCTGCCATGAGCTACTACATTATACGACTCTAACGTGAGCTAATTTTCAGGAGAAAATACACTGCCTACGTATTTGTAAATGTAGGCCTAATAGCTCAACGGAACCAAAATACATCGGGAAAACTTCGTTGTTTTCTTGGCAGACAGTGATTTGGTATGGTAACCTAGTGCCTCAAACTTTAGTGTTCGACATTTTACATTGTATATTTTTAAAAGTTAATTGCTCCTAAATGTTTCCTGGCATGTTCTTTGTAATAATCCGATTGCATTACTTGACCGATTATTTAGTTCTATATACAAAAATAAGTTCAAGCAGTGCTCACCAGGAACTTTGTCGCTGAATTTTCGGCCCTACTTGGCCTTCATCGGAGCTGGACTGGCTGTTTGAATGCAGAAAATCCCACGTTACATTCAAACCACCAGTACACTCCAATGAAGGCCCAGTAGGGCCGAAAATTCAGCTACACTAAAAAAATTCCCGGTGAACACTGCTTGAACTTATCGTCATCATAATACTTATCTACAGTGCTACGCTGTTTTGCTTTATTTTGTACGATTATTTAGTTGTTGTATGGTAAACGTAATATTAATAGTCACTTTCCATTTTTATACATATTTGGAATATTTCTAGCCAATGGTAGTCCAGACGTTAAAGTCAGTAGAATAAACACACAATTATGAATTTATAGATTGAGCGTATGCTGTGTATCCTGATAATAATATCTCTAAGGTTTTGTGATATTGTATCGAGAACTCAGATTTAAAAAATGCATTTGCTTGTTCGAAATAAGAACTTGATTTAATTTCTTTAGTAATGTTATCCTTGTAATATGATTAATATGTTATCCTCAAAATATGATTAATATTGCAAACAACAAACACTGTAGGACAGTGAATACTTAATCCATTCACAAGATAGAACGTAATAAACAAATTCAGCAAGTAAGGCCGAATAAAAAAACCCATGTTTCTCGTCCGAGTTTTTGAGAAAAAAAAGAGGAAGAGTGGCTTTTCATTTTTTATTTTTTATTTTTTATTTTTTCCAAGATGGCCGCCATTTGAAAATTTCCTGCAACCGTTGGTGTTTCCACTGTTCAAAGACACTTTTAAAATGAAAGACAAATTGAACAAGAGAACTGAACATAATAGTGTCAATTAGAGTTGTATTGGTCACATATTTCGCAAGTACTTATTTTCCGCTGAATTTGTGGACTTTTTCGGTGTTTTTTTACTGCATTTTTCAAAAATAAAAGATAAAAAAAAAATCCAGGCGGCCCCCAAAAAGGAAGCGGGCGGGGACGAGAAACATGTTGTTGTTTTTTTACTTCGCCTAAAAATAAAGATAAGTCAGCGATGCTCATGCGCGGGCAGGTATTCCTCAAAGGCATTTCTCTCTGAAGTGCGAAATGATAAATAAAACGACAGGAAAAGACGTGCTATTAAACCCCCGACATTGAGTGCGAGTGAGTGGCAATCTGCCTGGGGCCACGGGGGACCGTTCCATGTATTTGTGCTTTTCTTCTCTATCTTCGCTTCTGGAATATGTTATGAGATTGGTTCGTTGAGAAGGTGGTCCATGCATAGCGCGACGCCGTTGGTGGTTCGGTGCTGTTGTGTATGAGTAATAGAGACGCGCACGTGTAGCACCGGCGTTTTAATTTCACTGGTGACATGGCTGGGTCGAGAGACATGTGCAGCACTCGAGTGTGTCATTCCATCTCGAGCGGACCGCAGCGAAGGGTCGGTATAGTGTCTGTGTGATGCTCAGCCTCATGCGTGATTTGGAGTGCTCGCGCATTTTTACCGTTGCCGACACTTACATTAAAACCCAAATGTAGATTTTCGTGTTTGTGTAAGGATTGCGCCTATGCATTATAGATACACCAACTGTGACAGCCAGCATGCAGAAGACTCGGCTGAAGGTGAGTGTATTTTCACTCTGTCTATCAACCTCCATCGAACAGAAATCGTGGGATTTGGTTTAATAGGATCAGATGCGAAATCGCCGTATAGGGATGATTTGGTATGGAGGTGCACAATTGCTTAATAATGTCTCGCTTTTGTGGAAGGACAACTCTCTTAAAAATCTTATTTAGTGTCTGACTTGACTAATACGACCCATTTAAAAGCATGTAGGACCATTTGCATTTATCTCAAAAGTAACCTAGCGAATTATTATCAAAAAGCTTACTTGGATTGAAGATCGTACTGGTACTAAACACTCCGTGAAATTATTCTAGCCGGCTTGCTGTCATTTAGAAGAAATCAAGAAATGTAGGCGATTGCCAACAATCAGCCAATTGTCTGATTTGTTTGAATTGATGAGTGCTATACACGAAATCGTGTTTCACGATCAAAAGGTTGTGCGTGCTTTTCACCATTTCTCGACAAGTGAAAGTATCCACCGAGCTGAAACTTCAACAGGTTCGGTTTTGAACATTCTTCCTTGGATTTTGAGTGGTGCTATTATTGGAAACGAACAAAATGCATGAAAAGTAAATTATCCCATATGCCTATACAGCTTATGCAGGATCGAACTTGACTAACTTGACCCATTTATTATGTACGGATATGTGCACGCGAAACTGGCGCAGTTGAAGGTACTTTTGATAAGGCCCACTCTATAATGCAATTACTTCACATATCCGTTTCTGATTAAATTCTGAACGATGTTATAAGACCCCGTGGTATTTTACTTTCTGATTTTGATCGTGCCCCCCCCCCGGTCTTATAGATCCAAGACACGCCCATGTCAAAAGGGAGCATCCCGCTATGTTTCGATTGCCCATTTTAATACAAAAGTCAGGTTTTGTGAGGCAATACTTACCGTAGCTTTTTTTCTGGGGGGGGGGGGCTTATATAGCGATTTGGTAAACCCAAATATTAGTAAACCCAACTTTGGAACATAGCATTTTTCTTATCATAAACTGATGATAAATTTGGAGGAATTTAGATAATTTCAATCAATATTTGTTCTATCATCCAATTTTTAAATTCGTTTTTGAAAACATATTTGCCAAGCGCTGATGACCAAACGAATTTGACATACGCGTTGGTTTAGGAAAACAGTTTTAGATATCAGGCTATCGTCGGTTAAAATTAATCTTCAACTCTTTTTAGCAGTTTTCTCTTAGCGTTAAGGTATTTGGGACTAAAATGTCCACAATACACTCAATATACTCGAGTTAAAATTAAAATCAATGTGTGCTCTTGATGCTTTATACCACGTCTTTTAGCTCAATATTTTATAAACTGTCATTAAATAACAGGTAGGAAATAAAACATGTCTCGTTCAGAGTTCGAATAGATGGGATATATTTGGTGTGTAATCCGAGTCGGATTAGGCTATCAAAATCACGCACAGACATTCAGTGTAACGTAGCATTGAAATTATATCACAAACAAAATATTCTTCTAACGACACGATCTGACCAGCAGAATTTACGGAAAGGAACCAACCGTTACGACTGTTAGTTTAACGGTAAGGAGTCGCCTTGACGAACGGTGCGTATAGATTATAGCATGCCGAGTACCATTTTGCAATATAATCATCATAAAACCTGATGATTAGTTTAACCATGCGTTATTCAATTAAAATAATGGACATTAGGGGAAGGACAGATTTCTGAGCGATGGATGTATTGTTCTGGTAAATGGTTGCGCTATATCAGATTGAAACAGACAACCGATCCCCGTCAAGCTCGGTAGTCGGGTGGTAAGACGTCTGCACTCTTAAGCAGAAGATCGTTGGTTCGGGTCCCACCGAGTGAGCTCGTGTATTACATTCTCGCAATTGAATAAAAGTCTGAAGTATTTGTCAGAATCTTACACCAGGACGTGATTAAGCTGAGTAGTTGTTCGCTGTCGTCTTCATATTATTCACACGTCTGTATAAATGGTTAGACACCCAAGCCTGAAAAGGTCAGTCGGATCATAATTTGCAACGCGGGACGTGCCATGCCTCCAAATGCCACGCTTTCGAGTCTTTCCCCGCGAATTTATTAAGGTTGCCACTTATGTTTCCGACACTCATTCGGCGCTCCCAGAAAGAATATATCTATTCCGAGTTTCTGTATCCAAGCGAAGGGGAAATGTTTCAGCCTCGACGCGGCACATTATTAATGTAGCTTAGGGCGCTAAGGCCGGATTGTAATTAGGTCATAGGCGTGGGCGTCAGGGATGGCCATGGCGGGGGGGTGGGGGGGTGTCACGATGCCTAAGAGATAATCAGCGAATTGCATTGAATCTAATAAAAGGGAGAAGGAGTCGGAGTATGGGAGGAATGAGGTTTTAGGTTTTGGTGATCTTGGGTGATGCACGTACGAGTGTTGACCACTGATGAGTCATTATCAGCGTAGACAACATGACACAAGGGGTCGGCACATGGGGTGGGGGAATTTCACCTGATCCCAATCAATTAAACACCCCTACCATCCCGTGAAGACAATCGTTTCTTATTTGTGAATGATGTCAAGTTACTGGCAAATTATAGCGTCCATTATGACCTCAAAAATCGTGCGAGATTATACAGGAATACAGCACATCTAGCCTGATCCAGTCACAATGTATAGATCTACGTGTGTAACTTCAAGTTTTTTTGTAGTTATTTTGTATTCTGACTTCGCCCTTTGCGGCTTTACCCCATCAACAGAATTTTTAGATAACTCAACCCTCCAATCGAGCGTAATACATGGGTATTTCGAAATAAAAGAAAGCATTGAAATTCATAATACATTGCAAATATTGCGAACTGATGACTGTCATAAAACTTTAGTTTACTCAATCTCAACTTCAGTTGCTTGATCACACAGATAACAATTGGGTAAATTCTAACACGGGAGTCTGTGACTAGACTAGTCAGTGTTTGGTACCAAGACGTTCACCTGAAAAGTGAACGTGAACTGCAAGACTTAACCGAACTGAGCCAGTGCAAATTATACCCCATGTACTTTTTTTGTGAATATATTCACCACTCGATTTGTTTTCACTCCGCGCCTCATACATTTTCAGCTGCGCCTCATACGTTTTCAGCTGATGTATGGCGCGCCGTTAAAACATCAATTTTCTTAAGTAATGACGCACCGTTCTTGCGAAAGGTTAAAATATCCAAACTTTTCGTATATCAAATGTTAACATTTCCCACTGGTACAAATTAAGTGCGTTGGAGGTTATGACCGCTGTGTGGGACGTTTTTGTTGTTGTAGTATAGTTAGGGACATTTATTGTGGTCATATGTTGTGTCCTTGGGCAAGCCACTTCACGCCCACTTGCCTCTCTCCACCCAGGAGTACAAATGGGTACCGGCGTTAGCCGGGGATTTACCTGCGATGGACTGGCATCCCATCCAGTGGGAGTAGAAATATTCTCAGTCATTTCATGCCACTAAAACCAGAGATAAATGCTGCCCTGCATGATGGGCCACATTGGCTTGTGACAGACTTAACTTTACAAGGGAAATTTTGACCGATCTGTTGGGTCTTTCTGCTGTCCCCATAGCGTCTTTAGTTCCCACAATAACTATCGTTTATCTGGTGCGTCCACAGAACTACAGAACAACTTTAGGGTTTGGATGCCCTTTCGTGGTTAAAATTTGTTGTGTACTTTTGTACGTGAGGGTAAAATTAGGAGGGAAAAAAACAGTTCGCATGTAGACTAACATTTGAAAATGCAAAAGCGTGAATTGTTCAACATTTCGCGGCACGGGGACTTTTTAATAAAATCTATCGCGAGACAGCTGAAATCTGTCATTTTTAAAGTTATTTCTGTTTTCATCCCCAAAAATATTCAGATTGGAAATGTGCCTGGCACTGGTTCCCAAGTCCCGGGTTCGCTTCCAACTGTACAGAAAAGACCAGACAGAAGAGTTTCTGCCAAAAGGCTAACTTAAAATAATTGTGAATTTTGCAAAAAAATTGCTCTGTTTGACTTAAATTTCTCTTTAAAAAAAATTTCGACATTTTGTAACCAACAAATACCTAACGTCTTTCCTATTAAATGGACTAGTGTGTACAGTATTTTTGAAAAGTAAACTGAAAAAGGAAAATCTGTCATTTTAGAGAAAAACCTGTAATTTGTTTCCAGTATTATCACAATTTTACCCGTAATTATCATAATTTATCCAAGTACTGTAAAGCTATTTCATTTGATAATGCAATATAAGGCACAGCAGTATTCATAATTCACAATGCACGAGGACCATGCACAGCACACGGACGAGGATTATATTTTTCTTATTAATTGACATTTTATGCACGCTTGAGTATACAGGATTATGTTAATGCAAAGTATTATACGATACTCTCCCTTAAATACCATAGCATCATGTTGGTCGAAAGTTTTATATTTAGCATCATAATTCGTATCCATTATTATAGACTTTTCTTTTGTTTACAAATTTCGAGCGCCTCTCTAGATGGGCAACCATAAGGCATGGTTGGCCAAAAAAATCCATAATAACACCTCATTATGTGAGAAAGAGACTTTTTATTAAGTCTTTGCTAGCGTTTATTGGTCATTTTTGTATTTTCATCAATCCAATGATAATTATGTTTGGAAACATAAATAACTATTCTTCAATTTTTACAGCATTGGCATTCCATATACTTGCCAACCCGTTGTTGGCAAAAAAGTGCCAAGAACGGGTTGGCAAAGAAATGTCTATATGTATTAAGTGTTCAGTTGATTTTGTGTGCTGTTTTGCTTATAAAATCAAAACTTGGTAGTTATATTTTATGTGAAACTTAGGGGTCTCGTTTTTGGTCACTTTTTTTTCGGGGACGTACATAACGCAAGACAGACGCGCATGCGCATCGATCGAGACAAAGCCCGTTTTCCGAAAACTTTCGCCAAGAGTGCATTTGCTGACGACGGCATGGCATTTGCTCAATTTTTTGGCGACAGACAGACAGTCAGACAGACAGAC